AATTGCTCAGAACTGGAACTAACCTAAGTATGTCTGGAGAAGGGATAAGTTGTAGAGTTTTGTACAATGAAACACTACTCAGCAATAAAAAGGAACAGTGTGGACGAATCTTCTAATTGTTATGCAAAAGTAGTCAGACACAAAATTATAACTACAGTACAGTTCTTTTCATGTGAAATTCAAGAACGTGGCCTTCCTAGTGGTTAAAATCTCAGAGCTATCAAGATATTGCCAGCTACTGCAGCAAGAGTTCAATCCTCGGCCAGGGAGCTGACCCACATGGCACAGCAGACCTCTCTTATCTCCCCACTGCTCCCCTCAGCTCTGTGTTTCAGTCGACCTGCCTGTTCTGCTCCCCACTCTGTCTCTGGTGAATCTTCTCACCTCCCACCATACATAAATAAAATAAATATTTTTTAAAAAGCTTAAACCTGGTTATATCAGTATCATAAATATATCCAAATGCAATGTAAATACCATAGTGATTTGATAGCTATCATCATCCAGCTAAAAATAAAAAGATACGAACAAGTACTTCCTTTACAGTCATACCTTTTAGATAATTTTTTCCTCCTTGAAATCCATCTCCCAACAATGTAACCTATTTTAATGTTTTAAAGTCCCTATTTGTCATCCCATTATTCTACAACAATATACTTCATACATTTAAAAATTAAAAATTTTAAAATATGCTATGACCATAATAAATATCAACAGCTTTCTTTAGGCTTAAGTTATAATTATAATTATTAATTACACACTAATAATACTGATCAAAGTAACATGAAAATTATTTCCATTGAAAATTCATCTCTTGGTCCTCCCTTGTGACACAGCAGGTTAAAGCACAGTACTGCAAGTAAGCCACAACCGCTTCAGTGAAAGCTCCATCCTCAGCCCCGGAAGCGATCCAGATGGTTCAGGGGACCTCTCCTGCCTTGTTGCTGCCCCCCACAGCAGCATACTTTGTCAGTCGGCCTGTTCTGCTCCCCACTCTGTCTCTGGTAAAGCCTTTCACTGCCCTGAACCTCTGGCCTGTACCCCAGTTCTATATGCATAAATAAATACATCTTTAAAAAAAATCTATATATACATATATTTCTTTATGCATACAAGAGCTGGGGTACAGGCCAGAGGTGCAAGGGTGAGAGGATTCACCAGAGACAGAGCGGGGAGCAGAACAGGCAGATCTACTGAAATACACTGCTGAGGGGAGCAGTGGGAGAGACAGCCATGTGGGTTTGCTCTTGGCTGGGGATCCAACTCCTGCTGCTGTGTGCATAGCTTCATGGTGTTGAGGCTTAACCCCTTGCAATGCCAAGGAGGCCCAAAAATTCGTCTCTTAATGAAACAAAAGCGGGAGTAAGTGATGGAACTTTAATTGGACTAATTTTTCCCCCTATTTTAACTTTATTCATGTAACATTGTCTCATAATATCTTATAGGTTTCAGGCATGCAGTTTTACTAATTAACATCTATATATACTACATTATGCTTTCCATTAAAATACAAGCTTCCACCCATCACCATACAACTGACCCTTCCCACTCGATTTACCTCTCTCCCCTTCCTCTTTATCCGCCGATTAACTACTCTTTTGTCCTTATATCTAAAAGTTTTGTTTTGTTTGCTCATTCATTAGTTTTGTTTATCTTCCACATGTAACTGAAATCATATGGTATTTGTTTTTCTGTCTGACTTATGATAGTCTCTAGTCCCATCTATGGTGTTACAGATGGCAGAATGTCATCTTTTTTGATAGCTGAATTTTACTCTTCTGTAGAAGTCATTCCCCATCTTTACCTACCTATCTGTGGTTGTTTCCAAGTCTTGGTTATTGTGAGTAATACTAGGAACAACCTGGGGTGAATATAACTCTTCGAATTAGTACTTTCATAATCTTCAGATAAATGCCCAGAAGTGGGATACCTTGATCGTATGGTATTTCTATTTAGGGGGAATCTACATAGTGTTTTCCATAATGACCAACTGATTTATATTCCCACCTATAGTTAGCCTTTTGAATTGTGCTTCTATTTGAACCCAAGTCGAGTTTCTAGTATAGAAGATAAGCCTTATCTTTGCCTTTTAAAAAATTTTTGCATTGAAGAATTGGGGTGTAGGCCAGAGGTGCAAGGGGTGAGAAAGTTCACGAGAGACAGAATGAGGAGCAGAATAGGCATATGTCCTGATGTACACTGCTCAGGGGAACAGTGGGCAAGACAGGAGAGGTCTGCTGTGCCATGGGGGTCAGCTCCCTGACCCAGAATGGAACTCAGACTGTGGTGGTGAGATTGCTGAGATTTAAGCCCTAGGGCACCAGGGAGGCTCTACCTTATCTTTTGCAAAGTTAAAAAAATGGGACAGGAAGTGTGGGACTGGTATGTTTTCAAGGCAGATGAGTTTTATGTGAAGGTTGATCCACTTGAAAAGGCTTCATGCCCAGGGATATGCCAATTCCATTTGAAGACCTCCAGTTTAGAATGTGGTGGAGATAGAATTCTAACCCAGATGTGGTAGGCTTCAGCTTAAGATTCTTTCAATCAACCCATACAATTCTAATGCGTCCCTTAACAATTTGGCTTGAAATGATCACTTAAGGAATATTTATTCACCGGTAGTGTGTGGGGGTATAGAGAGAGTATATGGAAGTAATATATACACACTGTTTAAAATTAAAAACATAATGTAATTTTTATATGTAGGTTCTCCATCCAGACTTTGAACTCCTTGAGGTTCACAAGTGTTTTATCTATATTTATGCTCTGGAACCTACTGAGCTTCAACTCACAAAGTAGGTCCTGAATAAGTGTAGAGCAAGGATACATCCATTTCTGAGTCTCTAACCTGCCTGGAGAAGGGCGTCAGGTTTGAAGCAGTGCTGCCAACTAGAACCTTGGGTCTGGAGTGTAAATCTCCTATCCTATTCATCAGCTCCATTCTCCATTCATAAAAGGAGAGTTTATATCTTCTCAACTTATCATCCAATACTTGTTTTCAAAACAAGCTCCTTATTTAGTCTGCCAGCTAGATGGCCCCCTACTCCCACTCCAAGCCTTTCTTTAAAAAAAAAAAAAAAAAAAAATTTATTTATTTATTTATTTATGCATACAGAACTGTTGTGCAGGCCAGAGGTGCAGGGGCCGTGAGAGGATTCACCAGAGACAGAGTGGGGAGCAGAACAGGCAGATCGACAAAGTACACTACTGAGGGAAGCAGCCATGTGGATCACCTCCGGGGCAAGGATCAAACTTCCACTGAAACAGTCTCGGCTTGGCTTAGCTTCACAGTGCAGTGCTCCAACCCGCTGGGCCACCAGGGAGGGCCCCTCCAAGCCCTTCTTCATCAAATTTTTGTAAGTCTCATTGCTGACCACAGAGATCTTTCACCTGGGGGGCTTTGGAGGGACTAGCCAAACATGTATTTGACACAAATGTTCCATTTGCTAGAGCAGAAGGCCTGAAAAACCTCAAATCATCAGGATGGTGTTTCCCATGCTTCCAGCATTCATGTATCACCCATTACAACATTCTGGATACCCTCAAAGCCAGTTCAACTTATCTTACACCTTTCTATATATAACTCATTCTCTTTAACCTAAACGCCATCTTAACTTTGTCTAAGCAATATTATCCAAGTAATGACAGGTTTGATGGTTTGTGCATATTTCAGGTACATGTTTTTAAAAGTTCAGTTACTAATATTTTTTGAATGTTAGTTGAGGTACCATGTGAAATAATGTCACTAGCACAGGACAGGAAATGCTTGGTCCTGTGCAGGAAGTTAATACTCTGGAGCTCTCTTGAGTTTTTTTTTATGAATCACTCACTATGCTAAGTATTCATAAAGGATAACATGTATTGGGGACTTTAATACACACTCATTTAGGAAACAAGGAAAACATAGAAAAGTTAAAAGAAGAAAAATCAAAACCTCTTATCATCCTACTTTGATAATATAAAACAGATCTGGATTTAAGATCTGTCTCAGACATGCACTCATTATGATATCTTAAACAAGTTATGGAACTTCCTGAAGCCTCAGTTTATTCACCTTTAAAACTGGGCAAAGTAACACCTATTTTGTAGGATTTTGGTAAATTATAATTAATGTGCATACCAATACTTACACCTTGGTGCTCATTTATGATTATTACCTTAGGGTGACTTTCTAAAAAATGGAATTTTTATGGTTCTTGTTGAGTTTCTTTCTGGAAAGGTTGTACTCTCACCAATACTGGGTAAAAATGCTTGTTTCACAACATGTTCCCTGACACTGGGTATCATGTATTTTTAAAGCCTTGCTAATTTCATTGGGATGGGTTAGGCATTACTGACAAACCTCATCTCATTTATATTCTCTACAACCCTATGAAGTCCATTTAGTAAAAGTTTTGCCACCAAAGCAGATGGGGGAAATGAGGCTACTCAAGTTTAAGTTCTTACCAGAGTCAGGAAATTGTTGGGTCAGGATAATAAGCCTGGAGGTCCTCCATGTCCACTGCGTATTTCTCCTATGCCACACTGCTGCCTGCTGGTGCCCGGGGATGGCCGTGAAGCACTGAACCTCAAAGCAGAGTCCTCCAACACTTGGCAATTAGTAGTAAATAAGATGAGTGGTGTTGAGACAATAAGATGATGGTAAAACTCTGAAAAATAAGGAGAAAATTCATCGAGCTCTGCAATTACTATTTATGTATATTACATGTTACTTCATAATTTAGAAAAGGAAAAATAAGGTGTTTTTTAAAAACATTTTAAAAGGACAGGTCTGTTAGGAAAAGGAGATAGAAAAAGAGAGGCACTATACAGTCACAAGTGGGCAGGAGAACTACCAAAAATTAGGCTTTTTTTTTTTTTAATAAAAAAGAGTAGGAAAGGCTTTCCAGGAAGGCACTGAATGAGTAATAAAAATAGCTTACATTTAACAATCTCTTACAATAAGCTAAGTTCTGCACTTGGGGCATTGGAAACGATAATTCAATTTTCATACAATCCCTATGAGGTAATGCTGTTATTTGTTCTTGACAGATAAGGAAACAGAGGCACAGAGATGGTTAAGTAATGTACTCTAGGTGACACATCTAGCAGGCAAAATGGTCAGGATTTGAGGTATGTAATTTGTTTTTTTGTTAAGGCAAGCAGAACAGTTACTAAAGTTCTGTCAGACTGAGAGGCCTCTCCCTAACGTTATTCTGAGTTGGCCTCCCTAAAGAGATTTGGTCAGACTGGGATACAGCACAGGTTGAATTCAAGGAGCCAACATGTGCTTTCATCAACTCAAAGATGTTGTCACTTGTTCTTCTGAGTTGATCTCTCTGGCCCCAAACTGGAACTTTGTTGAGACTGGTAGGATAGATAGCTGTTGAAGTTCAAGCAGTTACTGGGCCTCTCAGAGAAAAGCCCAGATTTCTCTATTCAGACTAGATGCTGGGTTGTGAACTCCAAGTGCATAATTGATGCCTGACAGTAACTCACACCATATTTTGCTTCTTACATGCATTCTAGGCCCACCAAGTCGTCTGAAATGCCCCTCTTTAACTGCTCTCTTGCTGTGACAGTTTAGACAATGACAACACACCCAAAGGAGGAGTGGGGAATAGACTCTCCAAGGTCAGTGTGGCAAACCAATTATAAAAATGCAAAGAAAGAAAGTTCAAGAATGCTCCCAGCAGATTGGAGCTGGACACGGATTTTGAACTAGAGTTAGACACGAAGAGCATCTGGAGGAGACGGGGACTACGACTTTCCTTTTTCAGTGCTCTCAAGTGAGTGAATGATGTCATCTTTTGCTTATTTTCCCTAATTATCTTGCAGCAAAATATGCTGTTTTTGTAATATAAAGTTATGTCATGTGTAGAGGTGACAGACACATTCTATTTATTGACTTCTATTGGGTTAACACTGGTCTTTGTTTTCTTGAAGACCGTAATCTAATACATGTAAATTTAATAAACTTTCTTTCATGTATGCTATATTTTACAATTTAGAAAGTGTTAAATCACATGTAGGTGTTTAATTTTAATATTGTATGCATTATCCCGCGTCTCTAGTATAGTGTTGCATAATTTGGAAACCAGGCTGATACTTGAGTCGCAAACTCTGCTTGGTTTGTGGTTTAGCCGCCTGGCAGGACGGCACTGCAAACCCCAGCAGGCATTGCGACCGGCTCACCGGGAACTACGGAGTCCGAGAGGGGGGCTGGGCCCTTACGGTCCTAGCCCTCCCAGAAGCCCGCGGGCGGCTTACAACGCGTTTGTATCATGGCCGCGGGAGCCGGGGCGGCGGGCCCCGCTTCCGGCCCGGGCGTCGTGCGTGACCCGGCGGCGTCACAGCCGAGGAA